CGGAGCTCATGACCAGCCTTTGTGCTCCTCCAAGGGCAGCGCTGGTCCACCCGCAGTTCCAGCTCAGCCCGGGATGGAAGGCGGGGACAGCCCTCCCGCGCGGGAGAAAGAAGACTGGTCATCTGCCAGACACTCATGCTAACGGGCCAACTTCGTCAAACTCAGTGGAACTGAGCAGTCATTTAATTTAGTTCAGGGAATTCTAAATTTAATCCACAATTTAGTTTTACGCTTTATAGGAAACCACATATTTTAATATACAGGGTGTCTCAAAAATGTATATTCACACTTTAAATAATTATAAAGGCAGTGCTTGTTAAAATACATTCCATTTTCAAAATTGGGCTATCTACTGTTAAAGTGTGATTATGTTTTTTGGGGACACCCTTATATTTCTACTTGATAAAGGAAAAAGCAAATCAATTTCATGACTAATTTAAACAGATTATTAAAAACCTGTGTCCCCACCTATGCAGTGCACAAGGCAGGATCCTCACCCCAGCGAGGTGGCATTCCATTATTAATTGGGTAAATAATTTAGGTGTTTTCTCCCGAACTTGCCTAAAATTCTGGAACTCTCCTGCCACTCCAATCGTTTTTGCTAAAATTCGTTAAAGCTGGTGTATTCCAGCGCCCCAGCCTCCGTGCTGACCTGTCTTGGGGGAGAAAGAGCAGCCCTGGTGCTCGGAGAGGGGAAGCAGGTGTTGAGCGCTCCTTTTGAAAAGCTTGTTTTCCTTCCAAAGGTCAAAAGGAGGCTGTCGAACAGATCCTGGAATTTCCCCCGTTGTTTGTAAGTAATTGTAAGATTGGAGCAGGTCGGCCTTCCGCAGGCCCCATCCCCGCAGGTTTTTGTTCTCGCTGGGTGCGAGGTGTGAGCTGTACAAGCTGCTCTTCAGACCTCCCCAAACCAGCTCTTCTGTTCGCTTCTGGACCCTTAGACTGTTTTCCTCTGGGCCCTGCCGCTCTGAGGGGATTTCCCTTCGGGAGAGGTGTCAGGGGGGCCATCGGTATGACTCCCAGAGGGCCCCCAGCCTGCACTCCCAGCCGATGCCGCAGCCACCTCCCGGGCAGGGGCCCAGCTTCCACAGGGGCCAGCTTTTCCTGGGATTAAGGGCAGCGGTGACACAGTGTGAGGACACGGGAAAGGGTGCCCAGGACAGAGGATGATTCCGAGGAGAGTCAGGATGGGATGTCTAAGGCAGGAGTCCCAGCAGCAACCCACGAGTGGGGCCAGGACAGAGTGCAGTGCGTTGAGAGTCTTCCTCACTGTCCTTAGAAGCTCTGTTTTCAGGAGAAGCAGGTTCTAGGAGGTTCTGCATGGAGGTCTCGGCTCTGGAGGTCCTTTCCCTGCGGCTGGGCAGGAGCCTGTCTCCATGGGGGCCCGTCGCCAGTGGGGGCCTCACGCACTTCCCGACCCCAGCACCGAGCGGGCTGTGGCTGAGCACAAACCACTTCTGCTCTCGCCTTGGGAGAGGGCCCAGACCAGCAAGGCTGCCCACCGCCCGCCTCCAGCTCCCGGCTCCCGGCTCCCGGTCCCGGCTCCCTGGCTGAAGGGTGCCTCTGGCTGGGGCCCTGGGCAGCCTGGGGCAGAGCTATCCTGAGACAAAGGCAGGTGCCCCCACCCTCCCTTTCTGGGCACCTCTGCTGCCTTTAACCCCTCCCTTCCTGGTTACTCTTAGCGGTCGTGGCCCCAGGCCACAGTGTCCCCATCCCTGGCCCGCTTTGGCCTTTGTCGAAGGCGGGGGCGCAGCGCTCACAAGGATGGAGGGCGGCTCCTGCCCGCTCAGGGCTCCCTGCCGGCTGTGCTGAGGTCAGGGGTGGCTCTCCCAAATGCGGGGCACGTCTACCAGCCCAGTGCCAATGTCCCCAGGGCGACCCACTGCCATGGCAGTGGCAACCACCAGTGTCCCTCACCTGCCCAGAGGAGTGTGGGAAGTGAGGGGAGCAGAGCCTCCAGAAAAGTCACCCTCCTCCAGCCTAGTTTTAAGAAAAAGCAGGGAGGGGGCCTGGTTCCACAGCTTGGCACCCGAGTCTCCAGGAATCCTTGCCACCCTCAGGTGCCAGACCTTATTTGTGGTACCACTGGAGTCAATGTTAAAAATCCTCCTGTGGGGAAGCCTGTTCCGGCTCAGATAGCCTGTCCACCCCACACACCCCCAGGCTGGGAAGGAATGGGGGCTGTCCTCAGGAAGCCGCGCCCCCTCCGGGCCAGAGAAGGGCTGGCGCTCCCAGCTGGGCTGGCGTGAGGAGACCCAGGTATCCCGAGGTGGCCTGCCTGGTTGCACAGGGACCGGCCCTGAGGGCCTCGGCAGGTCAGGACTGGAAAAAAGGGCGGGCCAGCACCGTGAGGTCCGGGGTCAGAGACTTGGAAAGGCAGACTCCCGACCCCGCCAGAAAAGCACACACAGCTGGGCTGCGTCCCAAACTGGGCCTCCAGCACGTTTTTGAAGCTTCTGGAAACTGCTTGAGGTTTCTATGTAAGACAGGATCCTCTCTGCCCCTGAGCAAACCAATTTGTGCAGCTTTGGCCAAATCTCACAGCCTCCCGAGGCCTGCTGGATGATGCCCACTCTCCAGGCTGACTCTAATGTTTGGGTGGCTCTGGGAAGCCTGAGATGTCCACCCCCCAATTACTGCTCTCCTCACTCCTCTCTGTTCCAGCTGCATCACCCGGACCCCGCCCCCCAGGCCAAAAGCCCAGGAGTGCCCCTCCTTCCCAGCAGCCTGGAGACCCCAAGTCCAGGAGAGTGCGCCCTTGGGGAGCTGGGGTCTGGGTCACAGGAAGGAACACAGCAGGAGTCCCCACCTTGGGCCCAGTAGTGCCCAAGAAACGGAAGTATTTCTTAGGAGGCGGCCTAACTGGTTTTCAGGAGATGACTGGGAAATCAGCCTGGACTGCTTTGCAGGGATCCGAGGGCCCTGCGCTGTCCTCCCACCCCCTGCCTTCAGGAGACCCAAAGGGACTGGCTGCTCCCCGAGCTGTAGGCAGTTCCCACAAACCCAGCAGCTCCGTGTTCCTAGTGGCCGGCAGACTGTGGGGTTACATTTTTTGAGACCCAAGCAGTGTCCCTGGCAGGTGTGTGCTTAGCCAGGTAATTTCGTGATAACCCTTCCAAATTGGAGGGAGGGGGCGAGGAAGATTTGTGAGTCGCCTCAAGGGAGTAGTGGCTTCCTCACCCTACTTGAGTCTCACAGGGGACACATGAGCTCCCCATCTGCCTCCAGAGCCTACCCACACCCAGCATCTACATGCCTCACCCCTTTGGTGGCCAGCCCGGGTCCTCCTGCCCTCCATGCCCCTCCTCCTGGGGCCAGTTCCCACTGGAGCAGCTGCTGCACCTGGAGCCTGCAGCGGGTGAAAGGGGACAGGATCTGGGGGGAGAGGGGCGGGCACAGGAGCAGAGCTGAGCTGGGTTGGGGATGGTCAGGGCCTGGCCATCACTCTGCTTGGAGGGCTGCTTGCAGACCTTCCCCCTCTCCTGGCCTGGCAGCACTTGGCAGGCAGTCCCTGACCCAGAGCTTCCTCCACACTGGCATGGGCCTCGGCTGTTTGGCACCGGAAGCTGAAGCTGCCGCCTCTGCCCTTCTGCAGGCCAGTCCTGGGGCTCGGGACACCACCTCCTCTCCCCTCTTCCCCTCCACCCCTTTTCACCAAGGGCACTTTTATTGTGCCAAGGCTCCAGCACCCTCAGAATTGCCCTTTTGGGTGTTTTCTCAAAGTGTGCAAATTTCCATAAAAATGCATTTTAAATAATGGACAGGTGCTCCTCGGGTATCCAAGGGTGTTGGGGGTCAGGAGAGAGGAGCTTTCTGGCAGGACCCTGAGGGAGAAGGGGAGAGAAGAGGACATCTGACAGCAGCTGGAAAGGAAGTTTCAAAAGGGACAGAGGAAGGAGGGGAAAACAAATCCCTTTTCGGATGGGCCCTGCTCCTCAGTGAAACCATTTTAAGGAATTTAAGATGAAGAGGAGGAGGTGGAAGGCCTGGGGGCAGGGCGTGTGGTTGACTAGGAATTTTCAATCCCAACTACTCAGCTGGACCCCAAGGCGCCTTTATTTCTCCCTCCCGCGGAGCCTGAAATCTGCTCCCGCGCTCCTCCTGGTCCGCCTGCCGGTTTTCTGAGGATGGGTGTCCCCAGGGGACCTTGCCTTCTGCACGCGCCGTTCTGCACACGCACACGCACACGCACACACACGCACACTTACAGTAAGTGCCTGCAGGAGGAGGGTCCTGAGCGCCAGCTCTGCGTTCAACACAGGAACCTGCCAGTCACCAAAGTCAAACGTAAGTGACAACTGCCCTCTCCATAGCGAGGAACGCGTGCTACAAAAGTCCCTTTGTATCTCGGCAGCCTATTTAATATGATTTATGCATTTTTGTGCAAGGAATTGTGGGATTTTTTCCCTACGGTAAACAATATGGAAATGTTAAAAATTGCAATCTCCCAGACCGTGTGTGCGGCCGCACACTAGGGTGACCTGAGAATGCCACCGTGAGGGTTCCTTCCGTCCCAGCGACGGGAAAGCGCGTTCGAGCGCAGGGACGCCGTCAGGGTCTCGCGGAATCGGGGCTCCGGCACCCCGAGGCGGAGGACGCGGCTGCTTTAAGGGAGGGCGGGGCGGCGAGGGCGGGGCGGGGCGGCAGAGCCTCCTGTCACCCAGCCGCGGTTGGCGCGTCACGTGGGCGCGAGCCGCCACGGCCATTGGCCCGCGGCACGTGTCCATGAGCCCGGCCCGCGACGTCACTCGAGGGGGCTCTGTTAAAAATAAGAACGAAATCCAGAGTGAAAGTGTCTCAGGTCGCGCTAAGTGGCCTGGAAATTTCCGAGCCGGCGCGGAGGTCTTGGCCACGAGGGCGCGCAGGCGGCGAGGGAGCGCGGGCATCCCGGCGCGGCCCGGCCCGGCCCAGCCTCCACTTCTCACCCATGCGGCTCGGGCCGCGGGGCTCGGCGGGGCTCGGCGGGGGCGCGGCCGCACGCAGGTGGGGCGCCCGGGCCCGCGGCGGGGCGGCGGCCGAGCTCAGCGCGGGCCCGCGGGCCTCCATGTGCGTGCCGGCAGCGGCGGACGCGCTGACCGCCGGCGCCCCGCACCCTCGAGGGCGGCCGGGCGGCGGCGGCGGCCGGAGCAGGCCCGGGTGGGCGTAAGCGCCGGGAGCGCTGCCTGCATGCGCGCAGCTCCAGCCCGCGGCGGCCACTGCGGCGGCAGCGCCGGCAGCGGCGGAGCAGGGGCGGCCGCGCGCGGAGAGGAGCGCGGAGCCCGGAGGCGCCCCGCGTCCCTGCAGGACCGTTGTGACTGCCCAGCGCCCGCGCGCCCCGCCGCCAGGGGACCGGACTTTTGAATCTCCCGGCTTGGGGCACCGGGCAACGCTTGGTATTTTCGAACTCATCTCGCGGATTGGAACAGCTCCGCTCCGAGCGCGGCCGGCGGCTTGCAGGATCCCAGCCCTGGCCGCGGCCCCTGCGCCCGCCCTTGGAAGACCCGGCGGGGTGGCGGCGCGGGCCGGCCGCGGGGGTCCCCTGGTGCGCCGCCGGCGGGCAGAGGGCTGATCGGAGGGTCCCCGGAGAAACGATCTGGGATTTGTCCTGAACAGCATGGAGGAGAATGACTCCAAGCCTAACGACGCGGCGGCGGCGGCGGAGGGGCAGTGGCAGCCGGAATCCAGCCCGGGTGGCGGTTCGGGCGGCGGCGGCGGCGGCAGCCCTGGCGAGGCAGACACGGGACGCCGGCGGGCACTGGCGCTGCCAGCGGTCCTGCAGGTGCCAGGCAACCACCAGCACCCTCACCGCATCACCAACTTCTTCATCGACAACATCCTGCGGCCCGAGTTCGGCCGGAGAAAGGACGCGGGGACCTGCTGTGCCGGCGCGGGCGGAGGAAGGGGCGCTGGAGGCGGCGGCGAAGGCGGCGCGGACCGAGGCGGCGGCGCGGGCGGCGCGGACCCGCTGCCGGGGTCTGCCCGGGAGCCCCGGCCGAGGGCGCCCTGCACGCCGGGGGCCGGCGGGCCGCTGCCGGGCGGCGGCAGCGAGTCTCCGGGCGAAGGGGAAGGAGGCTCCAAGGCGCTCTCGCTGCAGGGCGACGCGAAGAAAGGCGGCGACCCCGGCGGCCCCCTGGACGGGGCGCTCAAGGCGCGCGGCTTGGGAGGCGGCGACCTGTCCTTGAGCTCAGACTCGGACAGCTCGCAGGCGGGCGCCGCGCTGGGCGCGCAGCCCATGCTCTGGCCGGCCTGGGTCTACTGCACGCGGTACTCCGACCGGCCTTCTTCAGGTGAGCCGGCCGGCGGGCGGGGACCCCCGCCCCCCAGGGCACAGAGCCGCTCTCCGCGACGCTTTGTGCGGCCGGGCTGCGGCCGCGAGGCGAGGGCGCAGGGCCAGTTGGCCGGGGTGTACAGACTTCTCAGAACGGCAGGAGCGGCAGGATTTCTCTCTCTCTCTCTCTCTCTCTCTCTCTCTCTCTCTCTCTCTCTCTCTCTCTCTCTCTCTCGCCTTTCGGGGCCTCTCCGCGCAGCCCCTAGCCCCCATCCCCTGGCTGGAGTTTATTTGGTGGAAACGGGGGTGGCTGGGACCTAGATTCCTCCTGCGACCCAGAAACCCCAGAAGCGCCCGGAAGAGAAGAGCGGCGGCAGCCCTTTCCTCGCTCTCGCGGCGCTGCGGGCGGCCGGGAGTGGAGAGGGCAGCGGAGCCAGCGCTCCGCTCTCACCCCAAGGCCCTGTGCCCGCCGCGGGGGGGTGCAGTGCCACCTCGCACACAGCTTGGAGGAGGGGGCTGCGGTGCCCCCAGAAAAGGGAACTTCTCCCGGCTGCTCCCGCGCAGGGAAGGGGCAGGTGTGGAGAGGGGTGTGTAGGTGCTGGAGTCTCTCACAGGTCTGGGTTTTAAAAAGCCGAGGCCAAGTCCCGGTGAGACCCAGCTGCACTGAGTGCGGGTCTGTCCCCAGCCGGACCCCCTGCCCCAGCCCTGGCAGAGCGTGTTCCCGCAGGCCCGGCACAGCCTCACCCCGCTGCCTGGCTGCTGCTTGACCATCTCTCGTGAAACCCCAATTTCTCCAGTTAGATCTGAAATTTGCTCCATTGTTCTCGCCGCCCTCCTTTGTTAATATTTAATTAACATAGAGGCTCACAATGGGGCCGCGAGGAGCCGCGCTGGCTTTGTGCGCGGGGAGCAGCCCGCCAAACCAGCCCCGAGGAGCCTGGCGGCGGCCACAGCGCTGGGGCTCCCGACTGAAACAACAAACAAACCGTGAGATCTCCTTCGTTCCTCGGGGTTTCAGGAAAGAGCGAGGCAGAGTTTTCTTGCTGAGATTTGGTTCTGTTTCCGAGACTCCTACGTGTTTCGTTTTGAAAGAAAGTCCAGGAAGAAAGGGCACTAAAATTCTGCTTTTGGGGAGATTTTCTTTCCCTGAACTAGTGAACTAGTTAGTGTGTGTGTGGGTTGGGGGGGGGGGCGGTTCTGTGTCTGCAGGAACCCCAGCAGCAGAGGAGTTTGGGGGGTAAGTGTGCCTCTGGCGGGGGAGGGAGTGGAGACTGACCTGGCCCTGAAAACAGAGGCCCTTGCACACCACCTGGTCCTTTTGGCCTCATAGAGCCCCCTGCCCCTCCTGCGGCCGCCTGGCCCACTGCCCCCTCTGCACCAGCCTGCGCTTGGTGCTGGTGCCCCTGGTGTGTGGATGGCCCCTGGGGCGAGGGCGGGAGTGTGGTACTTTATCATCTAAAAGGCCAGGAGTTTGAAAAGCCCTGCAGCCCCGGCGAGGCGACCCCTCTCTGGTGCCCACGGCTGGCTGTGCGAGTCTACCTCCCCGGAGAGCTGGGCCGGTCAGCCTCCACGCCCGCTGGCTCCCCAGACCATCCCCAGCCCTGGGCTCAGCACAGCCTGGAGCTGTGGATCCCCACCACCAGGTCCCTGTGGGCTGGGTGGGGGTGCAGCCTGCAGGGTGGGCTGGGGACTGGGTGGGGACCTGGAGTTCTGGCTGCCCAAGGTCCACAGGCACCTTCTTAAAGGCCGAGGTGGAGAGTGCCCCAAAGCTGTCACTCACTTCACAGATGGAGGCCCAGGGGTGAGCCCCGCACCCCAGCAGCCTCCATGGCCTCCTTTCTCCCTTGGCCCCAGTGAGCTTGACCAACAAACAGAAAATGCTTCCCTCTGCACTGCTCGGCCTTTGCAGATGGTGGGGTCCTGGGAGCTTATAACCATTTCCCAAGTGAGGAGAAGGTCCTAGCCTGGGAGGCCTCAGTGGGGGCTCCAGTGGGTGGGGAGAAGGAGGGCAGGCAGCTGAGGTCAGCCAGCAGAGACAGGCTCTCCCTCCTGTGCTTGGGGACCAAGGAGACGTGGTGGGGTGAAGGGGAGCTTGGATTGGCAGGGCTGCTTCCACCCGAGGACACTGCTTCGGTCCTTAAAGGAAACAATAAACTTGGGCCTGCAGGGCCAGTGTGTGTGTGTGTGTGGGGGGGGGAGGTGGAGGCAGATGTCTGGCCCTCCCGTGATCAGGACCCACAGCCCTTGGCACCCTCTGGGTGTCCCCTGTGAGGCTCCTGTGGGAGCCCCTGCACAGCCCCCAGAGCTTCTGCTACTCTGCCCCTCCCCCATCTTTCCCCTCATCTCTGGCCCAGCACCGTGCCTGCCGGTCTGTAGGGGACAGAGCCTCGGGAAGGGCTAGCAGGGCCGCCAGGCTGTAGGGCTGCTTTCCTCCAGGACGCTCCCTTCTGCCTGGAGACCTCCCCGCAGTCTGCCCTGCACCCACTCCACCCTCACTAGGCTTCGCTGCCCCTAGTCTTCTTCCCGGGGTTGGGACCTGGTGGTGGTTGCCAGCCCAGGCCCAGTCCCCCCAAAGTCCAGCCCAGAGACCTTGGGCGCCTCCCTCCGCAGCTCCCATGCTGGTGGAGCGATCTGCTCTGAGCCAGCAGGCAGGTCTGCAGCCCCTGACCAGCATTCTCTCCTCCGCACCTCCCCAGGCCCCAGGTCCCGAAAACCAAAGAAGAAGAACCCCAACAAAGAGGACAAGCGGCCACGCACAGCCTTCACCGCAGAGCAGCTGCAGAGGCTCAAGGCCGAGTTCCAGACCAACAGGTACCTGACAGAGCAGCGGCGCCAGAGCCTGGCCCAGGAGCTGGGCCTCAACGAGTCGCAGATCAAGATCTGGTTCCAGAACAAGCGCGCCAAGATCAAGAAGGCCACGGGGAACAAGAACACGCTGGCGGTGCACCTGATGGCGCAGGGCCTGTACAACCACTCCACTGCCGCCAAGGAGGGCAAGTCCGACAGCGAGTAGCGCCCGGAGTAGCGCCTCTTCTCCCTGCGTCTCTGCGCGAAACAATGCAATAATTTAAAGCTATCAAAAAGGGCAAGTGTACAAAAATTATACCAGCATTCCTAGTGAAAAGGTCGTGTGTTAGCTATGGTTCTGCAATATTCTATGTGTATATAATTTACAGGTGATGTAAAATCCAAAATATCTGACTATGAAATATTTTTTTTATTTTTGTGTTTGAGATTATGCTAATTTTATGATTTTATTTTTTTGCAAAGGGGGCTGCTTAGGGTTTCATCTTTTTTTTTTAATCCCCTAAGTTCCTTATGGGACGCTTTTTTATTTTAAAAGAAAAAAATTAAACAACTTGCTGAAGTCCAAAGATTTTTATTGCTGCATTTCACACGACTGTGAACCGAATAAATAGCTCCTACTTGGTCTATGAGTTCTGCCACTTTGTTTGTATGGTCCGTGCCATGGGCAGCAGGAGGGCCGCGCCCCAGCCTCGGCCAGGCCCTTTGGGGAAGAGTGGCCATGCCTCTTGCCAGGCCTGTGCTAGGCATGGGCCCACAGTGGTTTTCAGTCTCAAAACACTCCGCTCCATCCCTCCTCCTGCCTTCTCTCCCTGCCCCAGGCCCGGGAGTGCTTGTCTGAATCTGTATTTGTGTTGCTGTCCCCTGTCCCTCCGACACAGCTAGTGCCAACTCTCCGCCTCAGCACCAGGGCTTCGAGCAGAGGGATGACTCTCCTCCAGCCCAAGCTCAGGCTCCTGCTGCCCCTCCAGCCCCTCAGATGCTTGTCAGGCCCCGGAAGTGAGGGAGGCCCATCACCGACAGGCAGGCAGGAGGCTCCTGATGAGGTGGCCTTTTCTTGCGTTTTTTCTTTTTTGTGCCCTTTTTTTATAAGTGGCCACTTCTGCTACAGAGAGTGTTCAAGGTGTGTACATATGTATGTAGGCGTGTACACACACAGACAGGTGTGTATGAGCCCCCAGTTCTGGGACACGTGGCTACCTTGACTTTTAAAGGTTCTCTGCGTCCTCAGGGATCCAGAGGAAGGACGAACGAACATGTGTAAATAACCATTTCTTATCACTTTGTCTTTTGTTTTTAAATATACATTTTATTTTTTGAAGGTGTGGTACAGTGTAAATTAAATATATTCAATATATCCTTGCCACGTACATATATATATATAAACAAACACATTATCTTTCTATGTAACACCACACTGTCTTCTGTTTAGTGTACAGAAAAGAACCACGTCCCAGTGTCCCCGAAGCTGCGGGGCGCCCTGACCACACAGGCCTTACGGGCCTGGGGACGGAGGCGACTTTCTCTCTTTGCCTTAAAGCTCTTCATTTTCCTTTGATAACACTTTCACTCTGTACATAGTAGTGTAAGCCTTTTGAAAAAGGAACTATAAAGACAAAACGTTGTAATTTAACATCCTGTGAATAACCATCTGCTGCTTAGGAAACTCAATGAAATGATATGCCTTTTTCACAGGAAGCAAGGTTTTCTTTCTGTTTTCTTTTTTAGTTTGTAAAAATGTGCATTTTACAGTTCCAGTATCAAATATTTATAATCTTATGAGAAATGAATGTTTCTATCTCCCAACTGTGGTCATCCAAATTGTGAACATTCCCTCTGCATTTTTGTGTGTTTAAAATCTTGAAAGTTAATTAAATAAAAATAACCCCAATTTATTGTAAGATATTGGCTGTCCAAGGTGGAATGACTAGATTTCCTCAGTGTGTTTCTGAGTCCGGGCGACTCCGGGCCTCTCCTGATGGCTGGGCGCTGGTGTCTCTTTTTAAAATTATGAAGACACTTTGGACATTTTCTATGTGAGCACAGAAAATATCCAGGTAACTTAGGTGCACATCTCTTGACCAGAGGAAGTGTTCAAAGTGTGGTGCTCTTCCCTGAATGAATGATTACCACCCCAGAAAGCAAAGGGTAATGTCCCCCTGGGCAGGGATTCCTCCTCCTCAGCAGAGTGGCTCCGCTTTTACCTTTTGTTATTGCTTTTACCCCAAAAGTACAGGGTGAGGAAAACAACATCCCAAAGTATATTGGGGAAAGCACCGGCCCCTCCGAGCTGCCGAGGCCCCTGGGCCAGCAGGAAGCACCCCGGACATACCTCCAGGAGGCCATGCTTGTGCCCGGAGCAGAGCACCAGTTGCTCCATTGCCAAACTTCCTTGGCTGGAAAAAAGTTTTCTTCTCCCAGTAAAAGGAACTCAGAGACCACTCAGAGGATCGGGCTGCCAAAGGGAATCTTCCAGGCTGTTTCTGTTCCACACGGGGAAGGGCCAGATGCTCCCTGGATTTGCAAAGACACGGCTCAGTGAGGAGGCCCCGGAGCACCAGGAGCGGCCCAGAGCTTGGACAATAGGATGTAGCCCTCCTCCCCCAGCCCGCCTTTGCGGTTCCGGGTTCCCAGATTAAAAACAAAAGCCCACCAGCACAACCATTTCCTATTGCACTCTTTCTGATAAAAGGACAGTATAACAACATTAAAAATCATTTTGTTTTTTAATCTGTTTGCAAATCATAACAGGATTACGGGCAAGATAGTTTTGTAAGATAATGAGATCCCTGTCCCCAGAGGCATGCAAGCAGATACCAGGTCTACAGTGGCATAGGGACATTTTTCTTTATTTTCTTTTTCTCTCCAAGTGGGGTGTCAAACCATCGGCTGCTTTCGGTTCTGTTTATGACATTTGTAAGAATCAGCAGCTTACTCTGAGCTCTTAACTCCCAGAGAAGCTCTGCTGCGCCTGCCAGCCGCTCCCGGAGGAGGGGAGACCTGCGCGGGGCCTACTGGAAGGCGGGCTCCTTTCTGAGGCCTGGTCCCCGCGTTTCCCACCGGGGCCTCTGGCCGCCTGGGATCTGGACCCGGACTGGGGCCGCAGCAGGAGACTCTCCGCAGACCGTCCGGCTCCGCCCAACCCTCCCGCCAGATCGGTGCCCCGCCAGAGGCGGTTTCCTAAGCGTTCCTCTGCGCAAAGCCACACCCCAGGCCTGGCTGTGCCCACCACCCTCCGTGGCCGGGCGAGCCGGGCGCAAGGCTGGGAGTCGGGCGGAGAAGACGCCATCCAAGCCTGCCGGGTCCCCCTCCCGAGGTGCTGGGAGCCTCCGTCGATGCCGGGAGTGGTGAGAGGGTGCTCAGGTGGAGCGCGGCGCCCGGGCGGACCCGCCTGCCCCTTCTTCAGGGACACCGGAGGGAGCCCCCGGGACACCAGCTCTGCACTTTTTGTTGTTGTTGAGCGAAAAGGGAAACTCCACGGGGCTCCTGGACCTTGGGCCACGGTGGCCGGCGCAGGGCGCACAGACACCAGGCTATGTGCGTGCAAATGCCAGCGGCCGCCCCGCTGCGGCTCCCCCGGTTCCCTGCGCCGCCTTCGCGCCTCGCCCGCAGCTCTCTCCGCGCCGCCCGCGCCGTCCCGGCTCCGCCGAACACTGCAGCCCGGCGGCGAGCCTGCGCTGCGGGGAATAGCGGCCGGCGCCCAGGCCCGCCGCTCCGAGGCCTCCGGGAAGACTGACCCCTCACCCGCACCCGACACCCCTGCACCCGGGCTGGCCGCTCCCGCGCGGACCTGGCACCCCTTGTCCGCGCTTCTCCGTAGCGAGGCCGCCTCCAGGCCTGGAGCAAAGGAGGCGGGCCGGGGCGGGCCGGGGGCATGGAGAGGGGAGGTGGGGGGGCATGGAGAGGGGAGGTGGGGGGGCATGGAGAGGGGAGGCGGAGGGGGGACATGGAGAGGGGAGGCGGGGGGGGGACATGCAGAGGGGAGGCGGGGCTGGGGGGGACATGGAGAGGGGAGGCGGGGCTGGGGGGGACATGGAGAGGGGAGGCGGGGGGGGGGGGGACATGGAGAGGGGAGGCGGGAGGGGGGGACACTGGAGAAAGAGAGGGGACATGGAGAAGGGAGGCGGGAGGGGACATGGAGAGGGGAGGCGGGGCTGGGGGGGACATGGAGAGGGGAGGCGGGGGTGGAACATGGAGAGGGGAGGCGGGAGGGGGGCATGGAGAGGGTAGGCCCTGGACAGCGCGCTGAAGCTGGGACCCCTCAGGATGCAGGCCTGGCCGCCCTGGGATCTCTCTGATCCTCCATTCTCGTCACACTGCCCGCCCGCCCCCAGAAAATAAAAGGCCGTTCCTGAAACCGCCTGAGATGTGATAACATTCATAGTTGGCTCCTAATCGGCAGGCGCATCGGGCGCGGGCTGCCATGGCTGAGGCGATGGCGTTATTGTTGTTGTTGTTATTGGCCACGTGCTGGGCCGCTGGGGGAGAGGGGGAGCCCAGCTCCCACAGAGGCATTTGGGGGGCCCCACGATGGGAGGGGGCTGAAGGACCCCACAGTCTCAGGGAGCAGGTGTCAGACTTCTGTCCTTCGCCCCCCCCCCTCCCGTCAGGTCGTGCCAGGAAGGAGGTCCCCAGGCCCCTAGGCCTCCTTGTCCCCGAGGGACGCCAGACCCGATTTTCTGGGCTGGGGGGACCTGGGCGCAGAGCCGGCCGCCCCCGGCTGTCCCGCCCCTTTCTGGGCTGGGCCCGCGCTGTGCGGAGCGGGAACAAAGAGCGCCCGGCGGCCGCCCCGGCCCGCAAGGCGAGCCCAGCAGCCCCGCTCCAGTCTGGGGCGCCCGGGAGGGACGGGACCCGGCCACAGCGCGGCCTCCTCCCGGAGGGGCCGGTGGAAGCGCGGGCAGCAGGCCCGCAAGGGCCCCTGGCACAACCCGGGTCCTCACTGCGGCCAAGGAGCCCGGCACCATGTCGGCTAAGCCGGCTCCCACCCTGCGAGCCGAGCCCCCAGCGTCTGGAAAGCCGGGCGGCCGCGCGTCCCCATCTGTCGAGCTAGCAAACTTGGCTGCGGCCGGAGCGCGCCGCCCGCGAAGGGCCGCCCAGAGCCTTTCAATGGCGCGTTCGGGGCTCTGGCTCCCGCCAAGTCCTTTGTCTGCGAGGGGACTGTCAGGCTCTGCGCTGGGGGCTGCCCCTTCCCTCCGCCTCTGCCCTCTCCTCCCCCAGTCCCTGCCCCCTCCTCCCCCAGTCCCTGCCCCCTCCCCCAGCCTCTCCCCTCCTCTCCCCGCCCCTGCCCCCTCCTCCCTCCACCCCTGCCCCCTCCTCCCCCAGTCCCTGCTCCCTCCCCCAGACTCTCCCCTCCTCTGCCCGCTCCTCCCCCAGTCCTTGCCCCCTCCTTCCCCATCCCTGCCCCTCCCCCCGCCCCTGCCCCCGCCCCCCCCAGCCGCGCCCCCTCCTTCTCCCGCCCCTGCCCCTCCGCTGACGTGGTTGCTTTCTCTCCTCTTTAGATGGGCGATCACAGGCTCCCGCTGCCCAGGCACTCGGGAAGCGCAGCCCCTCCTGGCAGCAGACTGGCCTCTTGCTTCCCTCCACCTTCGCCAGTTCAGGGACGTCACCTCGTGGCCAGGGCACGTTGCATCTGATGTGCCCTTTGGGCCAAAACTCTGTGGCGAGGTTTGGATAGTTTCCCACGCCCCTCAGCAGAACCTGAATCCTGCCAATGAGCGGGCACTCCTCTGGTGCAGGCAGTGGGAGACGCGGCAGCCACTGGGCCCTCGCACAGCCCGCCCCCCCCCTCCCCGCCCAGGCCCTCCCTGACCTGTGGGGCCGCAGGCAATGGGCCCCGCAGACATTTCCACAGCACGCAGGCTGTTCCGTGGACTCTCTGATTATGCCTTTCCATGAGAACATCTGGATGGAAACCGGAAGCTCTCATCCCTGGCTTGCATGATGGCTCAGCTGCTCCAAACCCCCGTGTCAGGAGAAGACCAGAGCCTGCAGCTCCCCCCAGAGGCCCAGGTCCACCTCCCAGATACTTTTCATAACGCATCGCTCACACACTCACAAAGCGTCACTCAGTCCCCAGGAAGTGGGGAGCACAGACTTCTGTACCAGGCCGTCTGCGTGTCCCCCCCAGCCCAATCACCCCACTCTGGGCCTCCCAGGAGGGTTTGCTGTGCTGTTTGATGGGTGGGCCCCACAGTGGGAAGGTGCACTATCGCCCCCAAAATGAAACCTGGTGGAGCTCAGGCTGCCCCACTGCCCAGCCCCATGGCTGGAAGGGTGCCCACATCTTCCTCTGTCTGTGGAGCTAAGGAAAGGGAGGAGGGAGAGAATCATGAGTAAATAGACATCACCCACGTGGTTCCTGAAAGTGGATGGTGGTGGGCGTTGAGGGAGAACGGGAGACCATAGGGCCAGTCAAAGGTCAAGACTCTAGCCCTTTCCCGAAACGCACCCGCCCCTTTTGGAAACACGGAGTGTGAACTTTATCTCAGTGGGACGTGAGCACACAGCTTAGTATCGGGGTCCCCGTCCTGACCACATGTGGAGGCGCAGTGCCTGTGTTTCCCAGAAGCCCGATGACTTGACTGCACTCCATTTTCTCACAATGGATTGTCCCTGCATGATGCCCGAGTCCCATGGCCACCACACACCTTTGACTCAAAGCCCAGGAAAGGTCACCGGCCGGACAGGGCGGCTGGGAGCCCAGGCACCGGTCCCCCCTGCACTGCCGCCCGCTGCCCGCCTCCCGCAGCTCCTCCACCTGAGCGAGTGGGCGGCCTGCTGATGCCTGAGCGCGTTTTGTCTCAATAGCAGAGGGTGTAAGTAACGCTTTTAAATTAATTGCTGTCCCTATAGCTAAACACATAACAGGCTTTGATTACATGCTAACAAGAATGAAACATAA